CACCAAAAGAAACACCTAGGATTTGTAGAACCAACTCCTTTCCCCTTATTTTACCTTACCTTACCTACTCCTACCAAGGTTTTATACTATTTCACAGATTGAACTACTCCAATAAAAACTTCTACACATCCATCTAGCCTAAATGGGCCTGTAACTCTGCAGTATTAAGTACAACTATTACTAACAAGACCAAGTTAGTTTGGACTGCTAAATACATAACAAGTGAATGGCAAGTTTTATTGACATTCTTCTCTAAACTTTAACCAGGATTCACAGTAATACTTTTATTGAAATTGCCTGCTTAGCTCTGTTTGTACAGCTAATTCTGGATTATTTGTAAATAGATTAACTTTTTGTGTAATACCTACCTTATCATTGATGAACAAGAAGTTAGAAATTGTATGTATCAGGTATGTATTATATGATCTGAACCATCTCCCTTTTATTCATATTGGTAGCATGACCTGTATTAAAGGTTTAAAGTCTGGAAAGAAGTTGTTTCTTGGTCATTTTCTCCTCATTATTTCTCAAGCTTAAAAATACCATAAAGAGGATCCATCCTGCCCTGCCAGTAGCCATGCCAACAAAAGTATAAGTTCTTTGATTTCTTTCAGCATCTAGGTAACACATAATGTCATGCTTTTATTTTTTTATCCATTAAGAATTATTTTGGGCACTGTAGTGATAAGATATTTTGGATATAAGTATTAGGAAAAATACTTAATCTGTTTGAAACCTGTTCTCAGCAGTGAAATATTGAAATACACTAGACAGTCTAATTGTGATAGAATTAATGAGCCTTAATAGTTATTTGACTGTCACAAGACATATTGTAATAAGTATTATATCTGAAAACAGCCTCTTTGTTTGCTTTAGCCTTTTCAACAATTCCATGAGTAAGAATGAGGCCTTTGAATACTTTTTCATGGGGGACTTAAACTGCTTATTCACTTCATTCACAGAAGTCTAGCAATGACTCACTTATCTGGAATTCAGCTATCCAGCAAATTAACCAATCCAGAATACAGCCCCTGTGTAACCAAAATATCACAAAGTATTTTTGCACTAAAATTCATTCATTTTACTCATAGAAAAATCCTTCAGATCCTAAGTCAGAAGTTATTTACTCCTACTTACTTAATTCTAAGAAGTTTGACTATCTAGTTTCCAAAATGGCAGATTAGAAACAGAAAAAATAGAAGCTAGAAGGGGACCTGCTTATAGTTCGAAATACTGACAGCAATAAGAAGCGTTAACCTAACAGAGAAGAGACAGCAAAATTACGAAGAAAGAAGAACTCAAAGAACAAAATTCTTTTTTTAATTTTTAACATAGGCACAAACAAAACTACACACCTTAATAGGCCCCCAAAACATCACTGAACAGTACTCTAATTAAAGCACCAAAACCTTGTGCATAGTCATTTGGTAAATGTTTAATTTGACTCTGTATCATTTTTTATTTTTTATTTTTTGGAGGCAGTCAGGGTTAAGTGATTTGCCCAGGGTCACACAACTAGTAAGTGTCTGAGGTCAAATTTGAACTCAGGTCCTCCCGACTCCAGGACAAGTGCTACAGCACTGTGCTACCTAGCTGCTGTCCATCATCATTTTCTAAAAAAAAAAAAAAAAAAAAAAAAAAAGTTAAATTATATTCAGCGTACTGTATTTAAGGCTTGGAAGTATTACTACATTTTAGAAACATTTCTATCCAGAATTTCATTCCTAGTGTAGTCCCCATTTTTTCCCATTAACTCACTAATTAAAGGAGCTCAGTAGTTATTTGGGAAAATTGGCTATCTAAAATGACCTGTATCCCAGAGGCTACAGATAGCTGAAGTTTTCCTGTAGTAATTACTATGTTAGCTCTACTTTTTCCTTCAGAAAAGTTGTTTGTCTCTAACTTCCAACTTTTCCTTCCAGCCTTTAATGATTATCTTCTAGTAGTTCATAGAAAGATGACGTGTACACAAATAATAATACAAAGCAGTATTATATACTTTGTGTGTATCACAGAAGCAACAGTGAAGTTCCATAGAAGTTCAGAGAGAGGAAGTGTGTATGGCTAGTATAATCAGGGAAGGCTTCACAAGAGATGTCTTTGAAGGATAGATTTATGGATATGTTTTTGTGTCATGGATCCTCTGGCAATCTAGTAAAGTCTATGGACCCCTTTTCAAAATAATGTTTTTAAATGTATAAAATATATAAGATTACAAAGGAAACCAAATATATTGAAATAGTTATTTAAAAATAAGTTAATAGACCCCAGGTTAAAAACACCTAATTAATCAAATCTTTAAATTTGAATAAGTCACCTGTCTTTATAATCTTGGGTCCGTCTGTATAGTTGTTAAACTGTATTTGAAAGACAATTTACAAAAGTACGTGTTAGAATTATTTGTACTATTACAGGGATGATGATTTTTCATATTTTCATGGACATCATATAATTTTCAGGAAGAAATTCTAGTAAAAGATCATCTTTGAGGTAGAAGATGAAACTACATTTGTAGTTGGTCAATTTTTTCTACCCCAAATTGAAAGTTCATACCCTATTTTTTTTGAAAGGCATTCATTTTGTGTTTTTCATATTACTATGTGTTTGTTCACTTGAGGAAAAAATGTTCACTGCTATCACTCATTCTTTTTTATGAGTAATGTCAAGGAATATGGATTACAAACCAACTTAAAATTTCCCTTCTTAATATTACTAAATCCCAAAAACAAAATTTGTTATTAGCAAGCCTAGTAGTTCGACTGGTAGATCAAATAAGTTCTGTAGCTTAAACAATTAAGGAAGAAATCTAGATTTTGACAAATTACAGTAGGCAAAGGTTCCACATGGTTAGATGAGATGATAATATTTTGTGCTGATAAAACATTAAGGGGAATCCCCAACTAAAAATAGATATTATCTTTATTTGGTAAGGGGGGAAAAGAAGCGTAAGACTTTTCACTGATTAAAAATTTAGTGAATTATTATACATTTTTAAATCTTTTATTCTTGGAAATATTTTGACACTTAGAGTTGCTATGGCACATTTATTTTGAAAGCGCGTATGAATTAATGGCCGTAAATTAAATGTTAATGATAAATTTTGTATTGTAGGGGAAAAGACAGCAGATCAAGACTGGTCATTTTATTAATATGAGAGTGTTTTCACAATGAAAATATAGCTTATCCTTCATAAAAGCAAATTAATTTGAAAAGTGGTGTATTAGTAATTCCTTTCTCCAAATAAGTACAGTACAGACACTCCTGGTAGTTGCTATTCTTTAACTGTCATCTCTGACAAAATATGATTTTGTGTTACCCCGTGCCATTTCATTTTTAGCCAGATTCTCTTCTAAGAATGTTAAACAAGTGTCAAACCTTTTGTTGAGCATTAGAAATATATATGATATGAACTATTCATTTCATATGGGAATTGGACAGCTGTTGGATCGTAATTTTTAATGTCAATCTAGTATGGATTTTAACTAATAATAAGAAACACTTATTTCTAGTCATTTGAGCTGTCTATTCTTCATACTAGTCTTCTTTAGTAGTCTTGCTTTAACAAAGATTTAACTTAATGATCAGATGTAATATGATCTGTGAACTGAATGAAGTTTAGCTCATGAGAATGTTTACCCTGGATAAGAGAATACTCAACGGAGGACATGATAGCTATCTTCTTCAAATATTTGAAGGGTTGTCCAGTAGAGGAGGGATTAGACTTGTTCTTTTTGATCCCAGAGAGCCAAGCAACGAGCAACATGTAGAAGTTGTAAAAAGGCAAATTTAGGTTAGATTTTAAAATAAAACAAAAATTTTTTAAAAGGCAAAAACTTCTAATGATTAAAGATGATAAAAAATAGATTGACCTGACTTGAAAAGTGGATGGCTTCTATCTCTTTGGAAGTCTTCAAGCAATATGGATAACCATTTTTGGTTATGTTATAGTGGAGATACCTTTCATTGTATAAATTGGACTAGATGACTACTATTAAAGTCCCTTCCATCTCAAATTCTGGGGGTTCTATTCAGTACTTGATGGTTAATAGTAATTACAGGAACTTTTCTGATTTCTCACTAATAAAATTTGATATTTTAGATATTTTTCTTAAAGTATACATGAAATAAATGGTTATCACGTTCAGTAATTGTGAACTTTTCCTACCTTTTTTTATCCATACTTGTAGAAATATATAACATAAGTGACGATTGAATTCCATAATTTTCATGTACTGCCCTGTTTTTTCTCTTTTGCTACATCTTGAACATCCCGCTTATATTAACTCTTTAATCTTTTTTCTCTCTTCGTTCACAGTAGCAGATTTTGCACTCATACCAATTGGTAGCATTATTGAATCAGCTGATGTTGCTAGGAAACTGCTGTTGATAAGTGTTACAAAAAGCAAAGCTCTTTGTTGCAAGGTTATACTCTAAAGAATTTTTAAGATGTGAATAAGCGAAAATGTAGTACAACATGTAACTGAAATTTTGGAGAAACATAAACTCGTCCATACAGACTTTATTAAATTAAATGTTAGAGTTTGTTTTTGCTCTACTATCAGCTAGTTGGCCAGTATTAATTTACATGCTGTGCTACTGAATAGTGACACATCTGCTAATTTAGTCCAAGTTTGTTCAGTAGATTTTGGGGACACTAGTCTCTTGTAACAGTACAGTGTGTACTTTTGCAGTAGAGATCAATGACAGTGTTATGCTGTATCTTGAAGATTTAAAAAGAGAAATTCCTTGTGGTTTTTCTAGTTGAAGAAAAACTAAAGAAAATCATAGTGGTGGTTAAATTGTTATTTTATTAGAATATAGTGTTGATATAAGATTAGAATTTTTTAAAGTTTCAAATTATTGCATTTGAATGTTTAGTGTACACATTTAGCCTAATATTGTGGTAGAGTTGCTTTTTCATTACCTATTGGTGAATACCAGGGTTAGAGAACCTCGCAGGAACCACTACTCTACAGGAACAACAAACTGAGACCCAAATATAAGTAAAAATCAGTTTACTTGGTTTAGTTTGGTAGGAATAGGAAATGATAGATAGGAAGAGAAGATGGCCTGGTCGTGTGGTAAAAGCAGGGGATTACAGGATTTTGCACAGATCTGGAAAACGGTGCTCTAGTATGTTACCCTCATATCATCAGAAGAAAACAAGGAAGGCCTTCAGACTGTTGAATGGATCCCCTGTGATGAATTTATGGAAGGACATGGACGAAAGTAATTTGCATCATTCTGTGAGGCTCAAGAAGTATTTTCTTCCCTGTAAAATAGGTGGTATATTATTATCATTGTCTTACAGATGAAGAAATTGAGTCTCAGATAGGTTAATTGACTTGCCCATGATAACAGAGCTAATTTCAGAACTGTTACATATAACAACCTATTTCTCTTTCCCCTTAAGTCCAGTGTTTTTTCTGCTATGTCCTGCTGACACTTGTAAAAGGTTAAGCATTTATAAGATTTAACATATCTAATTTAAACATTTTTGCCTTTCTTTGTATCCCACACTCTTAGTACACTGCTTACCTTATAATAGACACCTAATAAGTATTTATTGACTGACCTCATCAATACAAAGATCTAGTTGTTGCTATGAGTTACGAATGTAGAACTGAAGTCGTAATCCAAAGTATCATGCCAAACGAAGGCACTGGCAAGATTTAGAATCCAAACAGACAGACCAAGGATCACTATCCAGGGGCCAAATCAGGCTGAAGATCACAGGCAGAAACATAATACAAATATGTAGGCATGAGCAAGTGGTACAGTGTGCAGTCTTGGGAGGAGGAAACAATCACAGTTAATATCTGGAGACTTAGGGGCCAGCATATGCAGATGAGTCCACATAATAATACAAGCTATATATGTCTAGTGACTCCAGAACACAGACTGTCTGGCCTCTTTCTTTGTTTTGGTTTTCATCAGTTTGGGAAAAGGTACATTAATTGAAAAATGAAATCCTTAGAGAAATAAACATTCCAAAAGTGAGTTCAGATTTTGGCAGTTTTACTGATCCCAGATGTTATATATGATAATGATTTTAAAGAAACAGATTTAATCTGATTAAGAAGAACTTTTTTGATTAATCACAATTCAGGTCTTGATTTTGATGGTTTCTTTCAGATTGAGAGAGTTATTATTGATAGCAATTGGAAGCAAAACTGAAGTCTACGGTATTTAAAAATTGATTGTTTATAACACAACTGTGCCAGAACTCTAAAGGCTTATATTTGTCAAAAGTGTTTTAGTATAAAATCTATGGAACTACATTCTAAGGCAGAATTTTTTCAGTACTAATCCAAAGGCATAAAACCAGAATTGAAAGATAATAATCTACTGTGACCTTGAAGTCTTTCAGGGAGATTTATAAATTCAAGCTCTTGAGAAATCCTTTCACCTATAGATACCTCTTGTCTGCAATTTAGAGTTTTGTGAGACTGAGAAAGACTAAGTAACTTAGCTAGCAAATATCAGAATTAATAAGTGGGTTTTCCTTACTTAAGTCTAGCATTTCTATTCACCTAACCCCATTGCCACCTCATATACTAAACTATAATATTGTGTAAATTTCTTAAGGTTTTATATTTTCTTTCCAATAGACTGATGCCCTCATTGTGAGGACTAATTCAGTCCTTCTCCCCACACCCCCATAAGTTAATCTACACAAACATGAAAAAAAAATGATTGTACTTGAGGCAAAAAAAAAAGACTTATGTCCAATGAATTTTTAGTTACTGTTATATGAAAAATTGCAGTTGAATTAACTTGTTCTATTATATTTTGAATTCTAAATTTTAAGCAAACTTCGGCAAGAGTTAAACTCAAGAACGTATAAAGGGTTTGGCGAGTCTATGAAATAAGTATTACAAGATGGCATGTTATAAAAGATGATTAGTTTTTTTGCTTTGTTTTGAGGGGATGCTAAAGGGAATAGTGAGCCAAATTATATTCCAAATAACCTTTCTTAGATACTAGAAAACAACTAAATTATAGCAATCATACCAAACCAAATTTCCAGCACATGACAGTAACCAAGCAAGAAAGGTTAGCCATACTGTAGATATCTTATATGTATAATTATTTGTATGTTATTTTCCCCATTAGAAGGTGATTTCCTTGTGGATAGGAACCGTCTTCTTGCCTTTCTTTGTATCCCCATTGGTTAGCATAAAATACATAATAATTCTTTAAGAAATGCTTATTAATTAACTTATTACTAAATATACTTTATCTTTATTTCGGTAAAGCTTTTAATTTTTCTAGCACATTTTACTGATAAGCAAAGAATATTAGGTATGTCCATAATACTCTCAGATAAGTGGACAAGTACAACAGTGACAAAATGTCACAGTTTGATTTGGGATCCGTTAGTTGTCAGTATTGAATTCTGTTCATTTCAGTATCTTTTTAAAAATTTTTTTAGCATTTTAATTTATTATTTATATTATTTATATTTTATATTATGTTTATATTTAAATATAAATATTTTTTATTTGTATTTTATATTATTTTATGTTTATTATCTTTTCTTTTTACATTTTTAGTTCCAAATTCTCTCTCTCCTACTCCCTTCCCTACCCATGAAGTAGGCATGCTATATAATATCAGTTATGCATGTGAAATCATGCAAAACACATTTCCCTATTAGCCATATTTCAACAAAAGCAAGAAAAATAAAGTGAGAAAATTATATTTCAGTTTGCACTCAGAATTCATCATGTCTCTCTGGAGGTGAATGGCATGTTTTCATCACGAGCCTTTTGGAATTTTATCGTTTTGATCAGAGTAGCCAAATCTTTCACAATTTATCATCACTACAACATTACTGTTATTGTGCACAGTGATCTCCTGGTTCTTCTCACTTCACTTTGCATCAGTTCATGTAGATCTTGCCATATTTTTTCCTGAAACCACCCCCACTCATCATGTAACATAGTAGTGCTTCATCACAATCATATGCCACAACTTTTTTAGCCATTCCCAAATTAATGAGCAGCTCCTCAATTTCCAGTTATTTGCCATTGCAAAAGAGTACAAAAATATAAATACTTTTGTACATACAGGTCCTTTTCATTTTTCTTTGATCTCTTTGGAAGACAGACGTAGTAGTGGTATTGCAGGGCCAAAGGATATGAACAATTTTTATATTCCTTTGGGCATAGTTCCAGATTGTTCCCCAGAATGGTTGGACCACTTCACTACTCCAACAGTAATTCTTTAGTATACCTATTTTTCTTTATCCTCTCCAGCATTTGTCATTTCTTATAGATGGAGATGGTACCTCAGAGTTGTTTTAATTTGCCTTTCTCTAATCAGTAGTGAGGTAGAGCATTTTTTTCACATGACTGTAAAGAGCTTTGATTTCTTCTGAAAACTGCCTGTTTATATCTTAGACCATTTACCATTGACCATGGGGAATGGCTTTTATTTTCAGAAATTTGATTCATTTCTATACTCAGTATATAGTTAAGAAGTGGGGCCTTTATCAGCGAAAGTTGCTGTAAAAATTTTTCATATTCATTGTCTGTGGTATCTTTTAGCATAATGTAGTTTCCCTGATTATCTCTTTTATTTTTTGCTTTGTCTAAGATCATGATTGCTCCCCCTGCATTTTTTACTTCAACTGAAGCATATTAGATTCTGCTCCAGCATTTTATTTTAATTCTGTGTGTGTCTTTCTTTTTCAAGTGTGTCTCCTATAAACAACATACTGTTGGATTCTGGTTTCTGATCCATTCTGCTTTCTGATTCCATTTTATGGGTGAGCTCATCCCATTCACATTCACAGTTATGATTACTGACTTTATTGCCTTCTATCCCGTTTTCTTCTCTCTCTCTCTCTCCCCCGCCTCCGCTCTCATCCTGTGCCTTCTCAAAAGTCTATTTTACTTCTGCCTCCCTTTTATTATCCTCTTCCCCTTTCTCTTATCCCCTCATTCCCACCTGTTTTTTTATTGGTTAAGTTACATTTCTATACACAGCTGAATGAATGTGTGAAATACATACTTATTTTTCCTTCTTTGAATCAGTTCCAATGAGAGTAAGATTTAAGCATTACCCCCACAACCCCCATTTTCCTTTCCATTGTAAAAGCTCTTCCTTGTATGCCTCTTTTATGTGAAAACATTTTCCCCATTCTACTTCTCCTTTCCCCCTTCTCCCATTGCATCCCTCTTTCTCACCCCTTCGTGGGTGGGGGAGTGGAAGGGGAAAAGCTTTCTAACATAATTCAGGACCCATGGTCTCTGTCTATGTAAACTCCTTTTAATAGCTGTAATAATGATAAAGTTCTTAGGATTTGTGTATATCATCTTCCCATATAGGGATATATCCATTTTAACTTAGGATTACTCTTTTTATGCTTCTCTTTAAGTTTTCTGTTTGTCAGATTTTCTAATTCAGGTCTGGTCTTTTCATCAGAAATGCTTGAATGTCCTCTGTTTCATTAAATATCCATTTTCCCCCTGAAGGATTACACTCCGTTTTGCTGGGTAGATTATTCTTGGTTTTAATCCTAGCTCCTTTTCCTTCCAGTATATCATATTGCAAGCCCTCCTCCACTCCTTTAACATGGGAAGCCAGTAAATTTTGTGTGGTCCTGACTGTGGCTCCATGGTATTTTAATTGTTCCTTTATGGTATTTTCTCTTTGACCTGGGAGCTCTGGAATTTGGCTATGATATTCCTGGGAGTTTTTGTTTGGGGACCTCTTCAGGAGGTGATTGATGGAGTCTTTCACTTTCTAAATTTTACCTACTGGATTTAACATTTCAGTCCAGTTTTCCTTGATAATGTCTTGAAATATAATGTCTAGGCTCTTTCTTTGATCATGGCTTTCTAGTAGTCCAGTAATTCTTAAATTATCTTTCCTCAATCTATTTTCCAAGTCAGTTATTTTTTTTCAAATGCGATATTTCACACTTTTCTCTATTTTTTTCATTCTTTTGATTTTGTTTATTGTTTCTTGATGTGTCATGGAGTCATTAGCTTCCACTCTAATTTGTAAGGAATTATTTTCTTCAGTGAGCTTCTACACATCGGTAATTCTGCTCCTTAAAGAGTTTTCTTCCTCAGTGAATTTTTATACCTCTTTCAATTTGGCCAATTGTTTTTAAGGTGTTATTTTCTTCACGACATTTTTGGTGCCATTTTTACCAAGTTGTTAATTCTCTTTTCATAATTTTCTTACATCATTCTCATTTCTTTTCCATTTTTCCTCTACCCCTGTTTATCTCTTTCTTTAACTTCTCCACAAATTCTT